AAAGCCCCAGTGCTGCTCCAAGCTTTTTTCTAGGCCTCTCTCTCGTGAAAAATCAACAGCTCAAGCTCAGAGTTTCCCTAATTTCATTGCCTTCACTTGGAAGAGCAGCAACACAAATGTAAAACCACAGCCTCTGTTATGAGGGTCACAGAACACCTACTCCACCTTTTCCTCAGTCTTGGTTAACAGATCTGCTTTCCGAAATGGTTAGTGGCTCCAGAATGCTGAAAACCATCCTAGAGGCATATATGAAATTTAACATTTCCATAACCTGAAGAAAAGGCACTTTGGAAACGAGAGCTGCCTGACCACTTCAGTACACAGAACACTTTAGGTTCCTTTACTTCTCTCCATGTAGACACACTGACCAAGTGCTCTTTTTTTTTTTTAATGTAAATCAAATGATGAGCTGGTGTATATCAGGCATGAGACTTTTTCAAATCAAATTCACTGCCAAAAAACCAATAAAATGAAGAACTTCAGTCAGCTCAAAAAATCTCATCATTTCACACTATGTGCAAAATAGGACCATGAACCCTTCCAAAATATGAGACTTAAGATGTAGTTTTCATTAGTCAGTTTCCAACAGCTCCTAACAACGACTATTTTGTCTATTTCTAATGTTTGCGATAAAACAGTCACTCGCACACTCTCCTAAAAGGTATAAAACCTGACATAGTAAGTTCAGATTAAAAAAGATGGGCCTAATTGGTTTACTTTGGTGTTCATTAGCAATGTCAACCAGACTAAATTCACTCTCTCATTCACTGTAATTACTAAGCAATTATGTGCCAGGCCCAGCACTAGGCAATAGAGATGAAGTGACAAGACCTTTTGGCCTGATGGCGCTCAAATAACAACCTAATTACAAGTAAGCAAGCAGTTTAAGTGATATTAAAGATTAAGTTAATAGTTAAGTAATTGTCTAACTTTGAGAGCAATGTTAGTACAATCAGAATGTGAAATTTTAAGTTAGCTAACTTAAAGATGGCTAAATTTAGAACACCAACGGTTTTCACTGCGATCATACTGAACAAAAAGAATTCTTTATACAATATCATCTCTAATATTTATTCTCTCTAGTATTACAACTACCTTTGTCCAGAGATGTGAGCTTATTAACATATTTGCATTCCAAGACACACAACCTTCATGTTGAGAATACTAAAGAATTCTGGGATGAGAAGAATGGATCAGGAATACGCATCGATCTATCAAGAATTGAGTTATTCTGCCCATCTAATTTTACACAAAACTTACATAGATAACTTAGTGGAAGTATCACTTCTTGAGAAAAAAAATTAAGATTTCATGAAAGAAGAGCAGAGGTTCAAACAAATACTATTTAATATTATTTTCTTGAATTAATTCTGTAAAAATCAAAGAATAATGTAAAATAGTTAATAAAGCTTGTTTCTCACAGGAAACTTCAGAGAAGTATTAATTCTGCGAAACTAATCCTTTTTAACTGTATTTTTCAGTACCCCTAGAGATTCTAATATACTGGTAACACGTCTTCTTTTAATGTTGCAAATTCGTTCACCCTACAGATATCTTATCGCTGAATGCTGGAATGAGTGAGGCTGGTGGATGCTTTTTGCTGTCACTGGTGCCAAAAATATTTACACTTGAATACTTGTTAAGTACTCGGGATAACTGCCCACAGAGTAGTTCTGATGTTCAAGAAAGGAATGCTACATTGTAATTCTGTACTTGGAGGTCCACGCTGTGGAAACCCAGGTATAAACAGGTTAACAGAGAAGCAACAATGGATTCTGATAATTCAGTCATTAAATCACCTTATATATTATAAACTCCACCTTTTGGTATTGCAGCTGGATGCTGGGATAGTCAACAGTCATGTTTGTCAGCCCCAAGTGGAGTAAGAAAGTAAAGAAATATAAATGCTAATTAAGGGTACCTTTGTGCCAAAGACGACGAAAACATTTGTCCAAAGGCTGGTTCAGAATCACAAGGCAGTATTTCAAATTCCCTATGGAAAAAAAAAAGTAAAAAAAGTAAATGAGTGAATTAAGTCTCCTGTTCCCTTCATTTGAGTCTGGAATCATCCTCCTTAGTTCAGATTTTCAATCTACACAGAGCTAATTTTAATCACAGCTAACATCTTACATTTGAATTTTAAAAGACACCTAGATTAGCTGGGTCTACTTTATTCAATATGTCTGTCACATTACTATATTGCTGAAAAAGTTATTATAAAAATAGTTTATCATAAAAACAACTGGGTAAGCTTCTTTTTGTAGGAAGTGAGACCCTTCTCCCCGGCGGGTATGGTGTCGTGACCTTGTCTGCCAAGCAGCGTGAGTCTAGTGGTTGTGCATTTTCACATTCACTCTCCTTCCCATTTATTCATATTCTCTCTCTCATTCTCTCCCTCCGCCCCACCCGATCTTGAACTCTCCAACATAAAACTGTTTTCACAAAATGCTACCCGCTCTTTTCATGACTTCTAAGTTTTTATATGACACTCAGAAGACTAAGAAAGATGGAAAAAATTTGCTTCTCTGGAAATCCTTTAAGTCCTTTATAATGTCCTGTAAATAGTGCAAAGCAGAATGCAATTAGGCAGTTGAAAATGTGTCATTCAGCTCAGTCCAAGTGCTCCATTTCATTTATGGAAAAGAAATGTTTGTTTGGTGATAAGAAAAATTAACTGTTTTTTTAAGCAATCTCAGTGTTAGAAATGGAGCAAGATAAGGAAATGAAAAGGGACTGCCATCCTCCACAGCAAATGTTATTAAGTGTCGATTATATACCATCACTGGGAGTGCAAAAAGGAGGAAGATTACAGGGTATCTGTGTGATAAGACACTTATAATAGAGACGATTTATTCCACAAAACAGTACCACATGATGATATGAGGAGTGCCAGGAACAGACAAATGCATGTGGTAGGAGTTCAAAGCCTAGACCATCAGGAAGGTCTGGTGTCTTCCTAGAAATCTTTGTGATATGCTGATTTTTGAACTTGATCTTCAAGAGAAGTAGTAGGAGAGCATAAAGGAAAGGGCATTCCAGACGAGGAAAACAAGGCCCTGGAAGCTGCTATGCTTTGCCCGTAAGACTGTTCCCATAGAAGGTTTAAGCAGCAATGCCCTGCTGAGGGGCACCTAAGACGTGACTACTAACATCCCAGATGTCAGACATGCTGTTTAGGATGACGGAGACATCTCTGTTGACTCCAGGAGGAACGTAAGAGTGATGCAGAAATGAGGAGTAAAGACTATTTATGTATATTTGCACATCATCCACACAGACACAACAGCTGAAGGCCAAAGAGCAGACATGCAGCCGAGATCCTGCAAATAAAGGGCAGAAAGAGAAAAAAACAAATTATGACTGCAAAATCATCATGTTTTGCTCACCATTACTGAGCAGAAGGGCATCAATAAAGGAAACATAGAAGGAAATGCCAGAAAGATAAAAGAACTTAAGAGGCTATTTCCAAGAATGTGTTGTCGATAACACAGCATGCTACAGAGACATCTAGACTAGACAATGAGAGAAGACCAGCGAGGGTGGGAAAACCTCAAAGGAAAATCGGAGAGTTCACTGAGGGAGCCTCAAGGTAGTCAAGAGGGAGATGCTTCTTCTTAAAAAATAAAAACTGAACTGGGAAATGAGGTGAGAGGGGTGGGTTGGGGGATGCAGCCAAGTCCAGAGAAAGTATTTTAAATATAGAAGATATTACATTCTAATTAGGAGGACATAAGAGAGAGAAAGAAAAGGATCAATTAATTCATTTAACAGGTATTTATCAAGCACAGAGTAGTCTTGTTCAGGTGTTAAACCCCCCCCCAAGCTTATTTCCTGTTGATTTATTGGGGTAGAGGTGGAGCATGGTTGACTGATTTATAAGAAAGTAAACAAAAACAAAGTGAAAATATGGAAGTAGAATGGAAAGTTTAAAACAACTGCTGTAAGAAATGTGTTACAGGAGCTGACAACCCACAAGTGTGAAAACAGGAATTCAGCTGGGATTAACGAACAGGAACACAACATCAGGTCTTCCTCTAATTTAGGACTTTTCCCACCAGTTCTGAGGAGCAGAAACAGGAGGAGGTGTAAACAAGTAAGAAGACCATGACAGCTGGTTTAGACTTGGCAGAACCACTCGGCGGGAGGGGGAGGGAGTCAGACAGGCTGCCCTGGCAGCACGAGAGTGAGTGACTGTGGCAGGACCAGTGAGTACCTCAAGACAGTCTTTCTCCTCTTCTCTAACAATGGAATCCTAAGGGGGTTTTTGTTTGGGTTTTGGTTTTTGCTTTGTTTGGCTTCTTGTTTTTTGTTTCACTGGGCACATTACTGTCCAGGTGAAAAGCTCTCTCTCTTTCAGACTCCTTGACAGCAAAAAGGTGGTCCTAAGACTGAGTTCTGGCCAAGGAGATGCATACGGGAGCTTTGCGTGTCTCTTATAGGGCGTTTCCCTAAAGTGAAGGGGGCTTTTTCATCTGCTTCTTTCCTTCCTCCATCCTGCCGGCTGGAGCAAGATTGATCAACATGCTGAATGAGAGTCTAGGAGCACCTGGGATCCTAAGAAAAAGGGTCACAGCCTGAAGGAGCCTGGGTCCCGGCGACCCACAAAGCCTCCGTTCCCACACCTCAATGCCGGGCTCCAGATTTCTTTTCTTGGAGAAAAAACTACACCCATACTTCGTTTTAAGCCAGTACTATTTTGGGGTTCACTATTTACTATTTAACTAATGCCACGATCATGGTCCAGGCTGGGTCAAGGTAAAGATGATCTTGACAGGAAGTGGAGAGGACTTTAAACAAGAGCAGGAGAGCAGCACAGAGCAGGGAGGCGAACTTGAACTCGCTCATCCACTCAACACGGACTGGGCACCAGAATGAGACATCCACAGCCTGGCACGTGGTAAACGCTCCGTGCAATGTTAATGGCAAGGAGCAAATAACTGGGATAAACCAATGGTCCTTTAATCTCTGGCAAGGTCTGCACTGCTGAGGGAGGCAGTCAACAATACCGTATGTGTGTTTAAGTGAATGAGCCAAACTGCTGTCTGTCACTGATTCTTTGATATGTGAACTCAGTGTTTTTGTGGCTCAAAGAACAATCTGATGAAGGGGAAAAGCAGGATTATCCACACTCCTACCCCTCTATACCCACACTTTCACTCAGGGATTATCTGTGTGAGCATTTTTGAAAAGAGTGAAGCAGTCTGAGAATGTACAATATGGTTACGATTTACCAGTCTTAATTACTGATAATCAAGAATGAACTCCTTTAGCTATCTCTATAGTGACATAGCATGTATGTTAATCTGGTTCTATACATAAAGATAATTACGTACTAGGATCTGATCTTCTTTTCTAATCTCGTCTCTGGAATTATAACTAGATGGAGTCAGTTTGGCATTTATTTTATACTGAAAACCCTCATGATTATCCATCCAGAGGAGGCTGCAGAAAAAGTAGCATCGAGAACCATCCCTTGTACCTACATAGCATATGGAAGTATCCCAACCGAGAGGAAACTCCATGTCACTCTCCGGTACTGAAGCATGGACGTTGCCTCTGACTCTAAGCGTGTAGGAACTCAGAAAAAGACCACAGAAGCGAGGAAACCAATGGTCTTGTTTCAAATATTTCTCAAGTTGTCACACCGATGCTGTTCCTGGGATGTGCAAAAAGACTTAAGAAAAAGGCTACAAAGAACTTCCTTATGCTATAAAAACTAGACCTTTTAAAATCAAGTGTTCCAAGGCAGTCTCAAAGAGAAATGTAGGGTAAGTCAAAATCTTTGAATCACTTTCTCAAAGAGGTTTCAATTACAGAAGATGAAAAATCCCTGATCCTGGATGTAACAAAACCAAAGCACTCCAGGTTGCCTGGAAACTCCGAATTAAGTACAAGGGTCCAAGTTCATGACATGAAAAGAACAAGGAAAAGTGAAGTCAAATCATCAGCCTTGAGCTTGAAGCAAAGAGGCTCTTGGAAGGTTAAGAACTAGTCAAAAAACTCAAGTTCAGATGTTAAGAAATGTGGGAGGGGCATCTCGCCTCTCTCTCAGGGTTAGTTCTTGCTTCCATTATTAAAAAAAAAAAAGACCCGACGTCTTTGGAGAAATGGCTGATACTATGACTAGAGGGAGGAAATAAATATGATGAGCCTGGACCATCAGAGAGTGCCGGCAAGTAAAGGAGCACTCCCCCAAAACGCAAAAACCAAAACAGCCACATTGATGGGAGGATGTCAAGGAGTATAAAGCCAACTCAAAGAGCTCACAATAGCCCAAAGGCCAAAACTAGAACAATCCGAGCAACAGAATAAAGTGGTTTTGGCTTACAACCCAAAGTAGACAAATAAAATCCCAGGAGTCAATACTGATGTAAGAGTTAATTAATAAAATAGGGGGAAGTAAATATCATATGCAGAAGAATTCCAAATAAATTATCATTTACTTCGGTAGATACTCCACCCTCAAGAGGCGAAGCCCAGCTGTGGGCTACACATAGCGCAGTGCAGGCGGCACGTGGAACCTTCCTCTCAAGGAGTACAGTATGGAAACGGGGGGCCTCTACAGTGGGGAAAGCTGACCAGCACTACTCCAGCCAGCTGAGCAAGGTCAACAGCAACAGTCCAAAACCATGTAAACAGGGTGATGAAAACAGCCCTCTATCTCTGTATCTTCTTCCCCAGACCCCATAACTCCAGTCTCATCAGGAGAAAAACATCAGATTCCAACAGAGACACATGCTACAGTACACCTGGTCAATACTTCTCAAAAGTTCATCAAAAACAAGGAAAGTGTGAGAAATTGTCAGAGCCAACAGGATCCTAAGGAGACATGACAACTACCTGTAATGTCCTACGTTGACTGGGATCCTGGGACAGAAAAGGGCCTTAAGTAAAAACTAAGTAAATCTGAATCAACTATGGAACTGGTAATAATGTATCCATGAGTTCATTAATCATAACAAACGTGCTCTACTAATGTAAGATGCTGACACA